TTCCGGTTAAATCGATTCCGACTGACACCGGCGGACCGACAAAAACATTCTATCGTTTACTTTACATTGTATACGCAACCCGATATAAGTCGAACTTATAACGGAAATGACTAGAAAAAACGATATTATTGTAGGGCATATTTTATAATAATAAAAATACCGAGTGTGTACTAAATTCCCGGAAATTTTTTAAATTCAGGGAGAATCCCTAAGGATTGATAGTTATTGTGCGTGTGTCGTATAGTCTGTCCCGGCTAACTGGGAGTTTTCCACATGAATTACTCAGGTACCGAATGAATGTTATTCGTAAATTATAACACGGACTCTAATGAACTGAATGATCGACAACAATGCGTGTAAGTAGGTATTTTAAAGTATTTTAAAGAAGCGATAGGCAAATATGCACCAACCGAACAAATGTACGCGAAAAAATGTAAATACGTCATGTTATTAATTTAGTTTTAAAGTTAAATTCGTCGTTGACGTGAAAAACCTCCGATATCGCCGACGCGCCACATCCGTGAAGGAATTAACGGAAACTAAAGAACGAAACGTTTCATGTGTCACGCACGCTGACCGAACCGTTCATGAAGGAATAACCCCTGTGTGGTTAAAAACGTTCTATGCAACATCGGTCACTGCCGCCCACGTACTATTACGTTCTTATCGTTCAAATGATTTCGGAATACTTTATCGGTATATCGAGTTTTTAGTTATCACGAGAAAACAACAACGAATTTAACGACACCAAAAACTCGTTTCTGTCTTCGTGTATTTGGTTTCTATGGCGGATTTTAAATTTATATTTAAAGTGGCGCATCCCAAACCGTGAGAGAAAATTATCAAGCGCGACGCGTTATCAACAATTGCATAACGGCCGAACTAGAAGACAGTCGTAATTTATGGCGATTATAAATAGACTACAGTACTATTGTTTATTGCATTATTGTCGACATTTGTTTGGTATTATTATAATAGAGTGCGTCTCTGAGATAATCACAATTACATTTCGCACAAAGTTTGTACACGAGCACGGTTTTTTTTCTAAAACAAAATATAAAATGCTTTCGGACGCCCGAATTGCCGTAAGTCTTGACGAAGTGTTACAAGACAATGATTCGGACGATGATTTTCTCGATTTCGTTCATTTTGTTGAAGAAGTTAATTCAGAAGGCAGCTGTTTTATTTGGCTTACGTTATTATTTTTTACACAACATACTAGGTATTATTTATTTATATTTATTATCCAAATAAGCAAACGTTACCTATACAACAAGCAATAATATTCTAATATTTTTTTTTTTTGGCAACTATCGTTCAAACAATTCGTCAAAACCAAAAGGCACCGATTTGGCGTTAAAATATTTATTTTGTTTGATGTCGAAACAGATTTTCATCGTAAAACACAAATCGTAAAGGGATGCCAGCTTTGTTTGACAAATTAAAATTTGTAAAACAATAACAATAATACGTGTTTCAAAATAAATACTGCATTTTGGTAAACCATAGCGTACATTTTTTAAAACATAAAATTACTTAGTCAAAAATGATTTTATAATTTTTTGGAATTCACATGATAGTTTAATACAAGGCAATTTAAAGTGTGAAAAAATAAAAGGGTTATCCTCCTATATGTGATTTTGGCAAACAATTTGAACCAACAAAACCTTCCTACGTGATGAAATATTGACATCATTATCCGTGATTATAAGGTTTTTATTTCATATTCTTTAAAAATAAATTGTTTTATGGTTTTTACAATATTTTCAAATTTATTTTCGTCAATCGTTGACGATTTTTGATTTTCTAAAACGATTTTCGTGTCTCCTGAAAAATAAGGTTTTAGCACATAGGAGGTGTTTTCACGTCAACGACGTCAATGTTGTATTTATTTTGTATTATCATTACATTTTTAATTTTTAATCCGTTTAAACGCAATTGTAATTTTAATACACAAACGCCGTTGTTAATTATTTACAATAACTTTAAGCGGACACGTGATTCGTTTACTAGAGGGATTTTTGATTTTTAAAACGATACATTATGATTTACAACTTATAGTTGCATCGTATTACACAACTCGTGCATGTACACACTCTGTTTATATTGGGGATGTCCCGAGTGCGTCCCGTTTAACAGTCTTACCTTTTTCATAACCCGCGTGCGTCCGCAAATTTATTGACAATTTATGTAGAACCACCCGAGTGCGCACGCAATCTTATCGATAAATTAAATTAAATTGTCCGAGTATATCCACAGTCATCCGATAAGTTATCCGCTACACATATTATATTTGATATAAACTGATTTGAACAGTGGAGAAATTGAATTTCGTTTCAACTTTGATAATAACTGAGCTAGACTACGGCTAGTAGTCGTGCAGACTTTTAGTGAACGAAAAAACCAAGTGCCTAATGCCGTAGTTTTTGTCGTATCTAATACCGAAGCAGTGACGTTATCTACACACTTTTAAGATTCCGTAAAAAAAAAAAAAATGTCAAAAAACGAAACCTTTGTAATTTCATAATGTCCGCGCGTCTATCAGTGTGTCACGAGCTTATAACCCCGGCGCTATTGCTAATCGATTTCGATGAAATTCCACAGAAAGGTGTCTCATTGTGAACCATTATAAAACTGTGCATTTCAAAAGTAAAAATAATAATAATAATTTAGGGTTAGTTTTCTATGGATAAACTCAAAGGGCGGACATTTTGTTTTTCGCCCACTGCATCTGCCTCGTGCCGGGATAGTACGTTGGATAGGTCTTTAAAAATGCAATAAAGGTTTTTATGTGTGCGATGGTTTTTATAAGCATAAATATTTCACTATATATAACATATAAGCTCCCAAAACAGATAATGATACCCCTTTCTATACCTATTCTATTTAGTACATACCACGAAGAACACTAAAAGTTGATGCGTATTAACGGAACGGACGTTTGCCGCGATGTCAGGGTCAGCGACGTATTTATGGCGAGTGAGGATTTAAGCGATATATCTCCCCTCTTGACCTTTTTTTAGTGTTTGTAATTTATATGGCTGTACCTATTTTTAAATTCAAATTTCTCTATCTTTCGGTCAGAAAAACCAACAAATTAATGTGTGGTACTTACCTATAATTATAAATTAATTAATTTCAAATAAAATAATTCCGGAACTTATACATTTCACTTTTTTTAAAGCGAAAATTATATTTGAACTGCTATCATAACACAAAGTAGGTAAGATTAGTACGTAAATATTAAATTAATCAATTGAAATTACCTATCGATGTTTAATTGTATTTATTTGATTTTGACATTAATAATTTAGTGCAGATTAAATTATAAATTATTATTTACGAAAATATAATATTAATTTAGAATTTATTTATTTTATATTCTGAGTGTAGCGAATAATTTATTGGTTGTTTATTTTTTATTTATCATGTATACGAAAATTATTCCTGAAATCTTACTCGGATATATACGCACGGCGCCCTTTCTGAAAGCGGATGTTGGCTAGACGGTACTTTTGGGAGGTTATTTTTTTGATTTTCCAAGTGGTTTTCCCCAGTATCAGCTCATTTTTTATTATTATTATTATTATTTTTTTTTTTTTTGAACATATGTTTAACGCCGATTTTAAAACGTCGGTGAAGTCAACATTAAGTGAACTGACTAAGTTTCGAAATTATAGCTTTTTGAAGTTCTCATATTATGTGGATATTATATGTAATGTTAAATAACTCTATATCGTCCTACATAAATCATATTTATCATGATATAACGGTTATTAATGCCTATTATCACCTTAGGGGTGCCGAGTTTAAACCATTGTGTCGAAAAAAATTGTTTTGCATTTTTTTTTTTCCGTTTATCGTAAACAAGAAAAACACGAATGCACTTTGGATACATCTAGAGACCCAAGCCATCGCTCTCTCGGAATATTTTAATCGCAAAATACCCCTCGATTTGTTGTGCAAACTTTTCTACCAGAAATCTTACTTCGATGTATCAAGTGTAGCTTATTTCCTGACAGGAAATTTTATCTCCATTGTAATTTAGGGAGGTAATTTTTTTTTTTTATTTTTCAAGTGGCTTTCATAAGATCTGGGAAAAACGGAAAATGTACGAAAAGTAGGTATTAGTAAAAAAATATTACGATTTTTTTTTTCAGTCTACAACTTTTTTTTTGGCAATTTTGCTCCGATTTACAATAATAGCAAGTTTTCTAAAAGGAAATTTGACTGGGGAGGTATATCAGGAGATCATTTTTGAATTTTTCTAAGAGTTTTCTCAGCGAATGTAAAAAACCGGAAAATCGGTATAATATTAAACAAGTATTATTAAAGAAAATACACAATGCCTATTTAATTAGGTATTTTACTACAATATGACATTTATATTGTTGACTTTTAACTGAAGTGCGCTCAGAATCGTTTTTCGTTCTTAATGACGTATACATTAAATTACCTATAACAATGGTTGTACCCATTTCTATTATCGTAGAATTTCACGGCACATACAAATATGGTACAATTTCCAAATTTGATAGGATATTATATTTCTCCTCGGGAAAATCTCCTAAATTGTATCGGTGAGATGATTTTCGGTTCGACATAAAACATTGTATTAACCGGACACCGTTAAATACGCATATTTTTTTCTATATTTATATATATATATATATATAATTTTTTTTAACTTCCTTTTTTCCTTTTTTTTTTTTTTTTTTTTTTAAACTTGGTTTTTTTCAACGTTGCATTATTTGTTTTGCCTGTTCCCCCGCCCCTCTCGATTCAACGCTTGCCATTATTGTATACGTAACCACCGCCGTCTCTGTACCCGAGACGACGAGTGCATTGTGTTAAACGCGAAAATAATAGAAGCGCAACGTGAATACGAATTTTTACAAGCGAACTAAATAACATAATAACATATTGTTATACATCAGAAGTGAATACAACGTGCAGCGCGTAAACCGGGTAGGGAGAATTCGTTGTTTGTAAAAACGAAAGTAATGATCGATGGTTTTAAAACGTCAGTGGGTACACAATCTAGGCACACCAGCTCGGCGACAATATTTATCTCAGATTTGCGGTTTGGCTATTTAGTCGCACGATAACAACATTGTCGAAACATATTTTCGGGGATTTCCGCGCGTCCAATTACAAATAAAGTTTCACAGCGCGCGCGGTGAAAAATTCTGAACCGTCCGTCACGGTGGGTTTTCGATCGGGCAGAAAAATTGTTTTTTTATTGTTTAATTGCAAAAAAAAAATAAAATAAAATAAAATAATAACACAACCGTTACAAACGTAATCTGTTATTTGATTGCAGTTAAAAACTATAAAATACTTTAGACATGTATGCCCTCGTATATATGGCAGCTGTACATTTAGAGAAATTCCGAATGGTTTTAAAAACGTATCGTTCTTTCGTTTGAATCGATGCACTCTGGCAGGATTGCGGACCATTTGAAACACTTTGTTTCAAATAATTCCCTATATTATGTATGAAACGGTTTAAAAGGGTTCGACATGTAACGATATAAAATAATTAATATGTTCCAAAGAGTGAAGCTATTAATATTATAATAGTTCCTATTTATTTTAAAATTACAATTGAAAATAAACAGTTTCTAATGGGTACATTTGGATGAAGAAATTGGATTTGTTTCGAAACTGTTATTTTGTTTTTGAATAATCACGATAACATTGTATTTATAATTTACTGCTATTGTGATAATGGTACGATGTTTACAAAAAAAAAAAAAAAAAAAAAAAAAAAACAATGTTTTTAGTGAAAATAACCGGTTTTTTTGTATGGTTTTAAACTTTTTTTTCATTTACGACCCCGGATAAACCGTGTTAATATTGGTCATGACGTTACCGTCATTGTTCATAATCTTCGGACTGTCGATAAACTAATCGAATTGACGTTTGACGATTAAATATACACGATTATAATAATATTGCAATACAATACAGACGCGTTTCCTAAAAAAGGAAAAAGAAAAATCGATAGAAATCCGAGTGCTGAAGTGCCGTAAGCGTCCAACGAGTTAACTCGTGTGTACATGCAAACCGGCCGTCGTTGAATGTTGTAAATTAATTTTGATCGAGAAATCGGATATTATACATAAGTATCGGGTGACGCGCCGGCTTAAATATTGAACAATAATCGATTCCGTTTGCAAACGAACCGTTTATCGTTTTTCAGAAATACCAATATAATGTAACGGAACATTATGAACATTTGTTTAGCCACAGATTTTTCGCCATACAAACATATCGTTAATTAAATACGAGTGATCCGGTACTTTTTCATTTTTTTTTTCGTTTCACCGATCGAACTGGAAATCAACGGGATAGCCTCCTTTACGGCCAAACGGATCGTTCGGTGAAAACCGCGATCGGAAATTCGCAATCGTTCGAGACACAAAGCGCGTACTGACTGACACCGACAGGACCATCGAGACATTTACGCCGTTTAATTGTAATATTAGAAAAATGTTCAGACGTTTTAAATAAATGCGCCTGTAATATTATAAAACATACAAGCCTAAATAACTGTTACAAAGCCGCATGGGTATGATATTATGTTATATCTATTGTGAACAGTGTTCGATACAAACGTCTAAAGAAAAAAAAAAAAAAAAAAACTAACGATTCTATGTACTGGAGATACCTGCAACTAATAATGTATTCAATTCGGTTATGTTTTGCGTTGAAAAATGGTAATTTTAACGAACTCAGCGTACAATAAACAACGGGGGGGGGCGGGGGAGGAAGAGAGGGATAGTGAACTCCGCGTTGATTGAATACACGACACGTACGGACCGGAGTACGCATTTACTATAATATAACACTCCGTTAGAAAATAGTATAGAAAAGTACATTGTCATTGTCAATTCCGCTCGGAATTTAAAACAGGCTATTTTTTATCGACTAGAAAACCCGGTTTAGTCGTTTATACGTACACGCGTACACGGAGTGCCAATTTGTTACATAGGTATGTATTACTGGCATATAGGTACAACGGAGACAAACAAAAACATTAATAATCCGTAAAAAAACCCGGTAAAAAAAGAAAAAAAAAAAAGAAGAAAGACGTTTTTCTAAAACTATAACCAATACTATGCATACCTAGGTAATATGCGACTCTCTTAAATACGAAAAAAATGTTCGAAAACAAAAAATTATAGAACAAAAAAAAAAAAAACACGTGGTAAGACATTTCTTCTAATAAGCACATATTTTTATTTTATTTTTTTTTCTAAATCTCTAATTTCTCCGGGTATTATTATAGTTTTGTTTTACTGTACCGTTTGTTGAAAAATCCTACGCTATACGCTACACTCGCGGAACACGTTTGTTATTAAATCCCGAATATTGCAAGAAACACGTCTGAAAAACGATAATTTATTTTGGATAAAAAAACAATGCGCTATTATCGGTGCAATACCAACACGTGGCGAACAAAAACAAAAACGTCCTGGATTTAATCCGTATCTGCGGTGAGCATAATATTATGAAACGAAGACTGATAACATGCGCGCTGGTTCGCCACGATTATAATGATACGCGCGCGGACTAAAACATGGTTCCACGATAAGAGCGGTAATATTGACGAATGCCCAAGGCTGGCTGGTCAGACCACCAACTACTTTACCGAACAGTAAAACAATTTGAAAGTAACTTTCAACTTAACAACGTACACGACGTGTACGTTATTACTACGCTGACCGAAAGTAATTCGACTAGTTACATTTTTTCATCGGACAACTGTAACTTTACGCCGACCGATAAAGAAATTAGTTACTTATAAAAATTGCTGTTTATTTTTACAGCCATTAAGCGTGCCCGTATCGTATTTCACATTATTAAATTACGTTGCATTGTTTAGTGTAGGCACGTCACAGTAGTGAAGAAATTACGTTGGTAATGATAAGCAGTTTTTTTTTTTTTTTTTTTAATTTAAGAACAGTCAAAACAATTGATTGATACACGATTTATAGAGCTAAAAATAATTAAATCGATGTAAAGACAAAACACAATATGTGATTACAAAGATATATTATTCCGGTTTTTTTTTTTTATTTATTTCAGTAATTTGTATCTATCTAAACAACGTTTTTGTTATTTACTTGATGTTTTCAACAACAAACTTTTAATCCGACTGAATCATTATTTTTCATTATAACCGAGGGCACCCACAAGGGGAAGGGCAGAGGGAAGAACTCCCCACTAGCATTCCTAAAAGTTAAAATAATTATATCCGAATATCTCAAAACCTCAAAATTCAAAACCGGTACCAAGGTGTATGATATTTATCAATACATTTTGATTGGTACCTAGTCAGTAGGCATGCTTCGTGATAATAGAACTCCGCTAATTTATTATTATAATGTACAATGAATTATGATTTGTAGTTGGTACCAACCACGATTAAGGATTTATTATATTAAAGGCATATCTTTAATATCTTGGTACCATTCATAGATATTGAAGAATGGAATTAAGAGTAAATAAGTCAAATAATGAAATTAATAATAACAATATAGTTTAATAATTTATATTCATAATAGTGTTATTATTATTATAAGATTTATGATCTCCAATATCTAGTGTACGTCTTGCAATGATAATAACCACAGAACATATCTTGTGATAATTCCTCGAGAAGCATTGATAAAAACAGTCTTTCTCTCTTCCCCACTCTGTCGCATTCTCCTCTATTTCGTTGGTATACTCATGGCCTATCTATTCTTTAATGTCTATGGTACCAACCACTAGAGCCGATCATTTGGGGATATTTTTTTGTGAACATCTGACTTACGGTTATCTAATGTGTGAAAATCGTTTATCCAGATTATATACTTAATTTAGCGGAAAAAATTGTTAATGAATTTGGGAAAAATTAAATTAAATTGCAATTCGTGTTCAATTACAGTGACTATAATTTATTAATGTAAAATTTAATATTATATTATAATACTTTTAACAGTTTTTTTTTTTTTTTTTAAATACGCATAATACATTAGTACAAGTGTTTGATTATTAATACAAATTAAGGCTGCCCCTCTCCTGAATTTTCACCTCCGGGTGCCCTTGATTATAACTGTAAATAATGTGAATTCGCGGACACTAATTTTTGTTTTATTTTATTGAATAAGTATTTTAACCCAAACTAGTTTGAAAATGTGTTCGTTTCGTTTCCGTCTAAGACGAGAACGATGTCAACAAGGGATGTGAATAATTCAGCGGACCCTCTCCGACTGGGGAGAAGCAGTCAAACAAAGGGTTGGTAATTAGAAACAATAAATCAATTTTACTGGATGGTGTTAAAGACCGCAAATAACCCCCACCCCCCCGCACCAGAAAACGATAATTTTAAAATTGATGAATTATAACCATTATTATAGTGAAACTCACGCGAAACAGTCACCGGATACGTGACGTCACCCTTCTTGCGTCTTAAATTATTAATATTTGTCCCGGCCGGCGTCGTAATGAATTTTCGAAACGGAACTTCAAAACGGAAATCACGTGACGCGAGACCGGAAGAGATTATTTTTACGATGTTAATTTATCACACTGTACAAAACGGAAACTCTAAACCGGTTTTTTTTTTTTTTAAATGAAATATAATTTTATTGGCGAATCAGATTTGAGCGAACATCGTTCAAACGTGGAAAACGTCGCAAATCAAATCACACCGGTGAATCGAAATAACGTAAGACACTCATTATCTCGAAAAGTATTCACTTTTTCGGGGCATTTGTTCATAGTGTATTTCAGAAACGAGCAGCTCTATAATTTCACTTTTATGTCGCTTTTGGTGCGCTGTTATTTCCGGGGATAAAACCACTATCTAACCTATCCGATTTTCCTACGGCAACCTATTATTATATTAAAAATTCTCGGAATGGACGGATTGTTTGTGTAAATGCGTTTTCGTGTTTGAAATTGTAAATACTGTAAATTGATTGCTTTTGATTTACGTCAACCCCTCGACGAGATATTCCACTTTTAAGTCCGGGCGGATGAAGAACGGTAGAGCGTTATTCAAAGGCCGCGCGCCGTGTTACCACGAAAATGATGTTCGGCTGCTCACCCCCTATTTGTATACGTATACGCGTACTATTTAATGATGATTCGGTAATAAAATTTGTCAGTTATGCGCAAACTATCGATCGAAATGACGAACGATATTATAACGTTTTACACCGTGAGAATCGATGTGGGTAAA